GTCCTCCGCGCCGCTGCGGATCGCCGCTCGCTGGAGGGCAGCAGGCCCGCCCGCGCGGAGGCCAAGGGGCGAGGAGCGACGCCAAGCGAGGGGACGGGCGGCCCACGCTGAACGCTGTTTTATCGGGAGAGGTGGCTCACTGATGTCACTACAGTGCCTCTGACCAGGAGGATCTAGGTGGCAGGATTTTCGACACTAGCTTGTCAGATAGGTCGAATTCAGTCGCTGTCAGGAGGAGAATAATAGAGGCCGGCTGCTCTCATCGATATTTTTCCGTGGTTTCTCCGATCAGCACCTGTCGAATGCCGGTGCACTACCCTAACAAACGAGCGACGGACCGTGTCCGATCTTTCCTTCCTCTTCCTTCTACTTTCATCACCCCATACACTTACTCTAACATGTGCTACACTGCCAGACCTGTCAGGTTTAGATCGGTAGGGAGCTTAGAACTTGTACCGGGCAGTGCCCCTGGTTAGGGATATCTGGTTGGGGAAACTCCACTAGCCGCCGGTAGGATTGGCGCCGGATCTCGCCATCCAGTGGGGAAAGATCACTTCCACCTCCCGAGGAAAACCATTCAGTACACTTACGGGACTAAAGACCGCAGTAGTTGACACGCCCGGAATTACCAACCAACCAACCAACCAACCAACCAACCAACCAACCAACCAACCAACCAACCAACCAACCAACCAACCAACCAACCCAACCAATCAACCAACCCAACCAATCAACCAACCAACCTGAACGCAGTTTTCACTCGATTGGCCACTGGGGTGGTATTGCAGGCATACAACGACCGCCAGGAAAGTGTCTCCACAGTGGTATCAGTGGCTGGTGAGTATGAGAGCTACAGAAATTGTGATGGTAGCACGAACTGCAGCTCGTAATAAATGAAAACGTAAGTTGCGTACTCACCACAATCACAATAGACGCTGGACGTTTTGTCCCCTTCACTTGTTTCCCAGTGATCGGATTGCTACCAATATAAATGCAATTTTTAATTGAAATCCGTAGATTCGCCTCAGTGCGGAAAGACTTTCCTGGCGTACTGTATTACTGTTCAGTGTAGTGTGATGGATAACGAAAGAGTAGTCTGTATGGAAAGTTAATTTCGCACACACCGCCCAAACCATAAGATAGTTCGGGCGGTTACAATGGAATATAGGTCATTCCTTCGTACAACACATACACTCACAACATAAACCAACATGTATTCACAATTGTTGCATCATTTCTTCTATACGAGAACAATAATACACTTTTCAAAGATGGTCTTGCTGGCAAAGTTTTGAAGATATGTCGATCTGGCAGTCTGACAGACCCGAAATTTGCATGGAACATGAGTGCACCCAGACACTGGAATTAATTGGAATACGGAACCTTTTGCGAAGTTCAAATTGGATTTGACGGACACTGCTCACAATGTCACACTCAGCACAGAATAGTACAGAACGCTTCACAGTTTACAACTCGTAATATACGATTCGAGAACAATATGAATAATATACTTAGGCAATTACCATTTTACCGATATAGTTTTGAGATGACATGCTTACGTGTGCAATTATCGTGATTCCGTTAAATAGGAATTGAAATTTGCATAGTACAAGTAAATTTTACATGCCGACCGCCAGGCCGTACGCCACGGTGTTTGTTTCGTTGTTTTTTTCAACTCTGAAACACTGGCTTAGCTGCAGTGCGCGATAAGCTCACGTAGTGGGGTTAATGTTTGAGGTCGGAACTAATCGCCCAATCAGATAAGCGCATTGAATTGTTCTGGAAGCTTCGGGAGCTCAGATCCCCTCAGGGGGTTGAAATACGTGGGCGATACACCGAAATCCGACGACTGGGACGTGGGCGCGACTCCCAGTAATCGCTCGCGCCATTTGATAAACACGAGGGAGGCAACAGGGTCCCAGCCCTGACCCACGCGTCCGTTAGCGAGGCCCTGGAGCGCTTCTTCTCGAAGAGAATGGTAATACATGACGAATGACTGAAAATAAAACATGCCCGAAAGATAAATTCTGTATTAAATAAAAAAGAAACTAAAGTGTTTAAATATTTAGGCCAATATATTTATAAGACTTAACGACCAAATTATTAAGATAGTAACAGAGTTAAAAAGTTAAAGACAAAGACTAACGGCATAATCTAAAAGTCCAGTGAATTAAGAGAGTAATCAAATATTTGGAAGTTCAATAACTAAAGAATAAGACGAAGAAAGAAAAAGTGAAATAGAGATAATACTAGTAAAAGATTAAAAGCACGTAGCTACGTGCACGATGATGAACCCCTGCTTTAACATTATTAAAAATAAAACCGTTAAGAAAGTAACATGCCACAGGATGTAAGAAAGAGCAACAGAACGACTCGTTACGAGACCAGATAAAGGCAGAAAGTGACGAAGTCGATCTATAGTTGTTTATTTTAGCAATTGTAGAAGACTTGCCTGTGAAGGACTGATGAGAAGTGTAGTAGGAATGCAGAATGCAGAAATTGCGACAGTGAATGCGAGTATATCGCAGGTGACAAGAAAGCACATAATGATGAAAACAAAAAAAACGCGTTTCGATAATTAAAAAAAACACGGCAGTTGCAGCACGGGCTTATAGAAATAGCAGCCTCTGAGGTGACAATGGCGCGCAATCTGTGGTGACGGCAGTGTAGGCAGCGAGGGCTGGGATACAATGAAAGTGGTGTTAGGGGAAAAGAAGTGGAAGGGCAATAGGGCAGAGGGTGATGAAAAGGAGAATGCAGTAGGAGGAAAGGATCGACAATACGGATGGGAAGCAACTTCGGATGCTCCAAATAGGTTGGAAGGCGTCAGCAGGGACGAGGTGATAAATGGCCGACCCAGCTTGAAAGCACGCGCTGAACACCGCTGTGTGATGGCGGGAGTAAGAGAAGTGGGGCAAGTGAATAGAGGAGATGGAGTAGGAGGGAGGGGGAAGCGGATAACAGCGGGAGCGGGGAAGCGGTAGCAAGGAGCCGGTACAGAACGGGGTTGGTCATTGCGATACGACAGGACGAAAAGGAGAGTGAAAAGTTAGGATGAAAGATGCAGGAAACGCGAATAGCAGGATGGTTAGTGGCAGAAAGTGGGAACCGCGGGACGACAAATTGACGATGAGAGTCGAGAGGGGAAGCGGGGTGCGGGGTGGTATGTCCTGGGAGACAGAAAACGGACACTGTGGGCACAAAGTGATAGGGGAAGAGACAGAGTGGTCGGACAACGAGGATTACGCGTGGGAGGGACGGGGTGGCACGAAGCGGGCACAGGGTGACCACAGAGGGAGCGGCTGAGCAGGGACGAGAAGAGCCAGAGAAGACGGAGAACGAGGATTGCGCGAGGAAGGAGACGTGCGGGGCGGGAGGGACGGGCAGAGCGGGGGAGCGCGAAGGAGGAGAGACGGAGAGGCCGAGGAACGAGGATTGCGGGAGAGAGGGGGCATGTGGGGGCGAGGACACGGTGGCATGAAGCCCTGGGTGGCCAGAGGGAGAGCGGGGAGCGGGAAGGGTCGAAGAACGAGGATTGCAGGTGGGAGTGGGCGGGAGGGAGAGCGGGGAGGGGAATAGAGAAGCCGGGGGATTGCGGGAGAGTCGTTCACGGAGGGCGCCGGGCGGAGGGACGGGGCCGGCCTGCGGGAGACAGCGCAGGGAGGGACGGTCGGCCCCGGGCGACACGATTCGCCCGGAAATTGCCTGCGGCGAGCGGCGCGACAGAGAGGGCGGCGCCTACGAGAGAGACGGAGCAGCTTCCAGCGCTTAACCGCGCGCTCCGGAAAGAATAAACGATATAGATCGACTATCAGTCAGCTCCGCCGGACTCCGCAGGGGCGGAGGGGGGGGGGCGGTGGCCGTGGAATGGAGGGAGACGACGAAGGCACTTGTTGCCGGAAAAGCAGAAGCGAGGCGCAAATCGACACGCAATCTAGCTATGAATAAATTTGGGTTAATTAAGAAAAGAATGAAGAATGTACTGACAATAAATTGAAGGTAAATGAATGCAAACTGGATTGGATCAATGAACGGTCTTGTTCCTGAAAATACAATGGACTGAAATTCAATGTTTCGCACTAATAAATTAAATCTCTACCACATGGTTTGTGTAATTATGTGCATGAGAATTCTGACCCACAATTGAAAAACAAAATTCGTGGTAAGAATTTTCTTACCCCAATTTAGTGATGGTTGAAACTTGTTAGTTTTAAAAAAGCAAATTATTACAATATATTAAGTTACACGTGTATCCATTGATATTCGTGTAAAATCGACGTAATGTTTATGTGTGTCAAATTTAACTCGACATCGATTTTAAATTCAACATCGATTTTCGTATTTAAATTGCATGTAGCAATTATTGTTACATGATTTCGTCTTTTAATGTTCGATGGAAGTACATTAACATTAACGTTAATTAATATAAACGTTAATATTCGTTAACAATCAGTAATATATATAACATAATTTCAAGTAAAATAAATTAACATTTTTGAAATTTAGAAGTATTAATGCAAACTCAATGTGCTTTGAGAGAAGATTGCGAATTTGACCAAAGGGTACAATGCTGAATATGTGAAAAATAATGAAAGTTAACTCCAAGTACCGAAAGAGAGAAAATGTTCATAACTTCGTAAATATCAAGAGTTTAGTAAATTGATGCAATAAAAAAAATTTAAAATTTAGTCTTTTATTACACAAATGAACCTTAGATACAAATTTTGACGTGCAAAACTTGCAATTTGTGAGCGCAATATAATCTCCCACTTTTAGTTCCTCGACACTCATTTCCCTATCAATTCTAATTCATCGCTGTTCCACGTATCCCAAATGGCCACTAGCTAGACGCGACAGACGCACCTCCTATGACGCGGCCTCCTATGACGCGGGCTTATCACCGCGTCTCTTGCCCCGGGGTCTGCACAGGGCCGTGCGCGTAACGCCGCCGAAGGTGATGAATGCTCTGCTCCAGGCGGGTGATGGAGCGACGGAGACACACGATCCGTCTTGTTGGATTCGGAGCCTTCTCTCGGCGTCTCGGCTTTTTCGTCCCGAGGGCCTCGGCGCAGCCAGCGACGGAAGCAGCGCGCCGCAGCGCCTGCAAATACCACGCGCTGCATTTGGCGCAGTTCTAAGAAGCGCGGTCAAAAATATATTTGGTATTGCGGATGCTCAGACATCAATTGTTTCTAACGTTAAAATATTTACCTGCCTTGGAGAACACGTTCACAAATTTCAAGAAATGTTCAATGGTTGTCAGAAACACAAAAACAGAGAAAGGTTAATACATATGTAAGAAAATTGAAGGGTACCTCGTTTTTAATCTAATTTGTTGTATTCATCTCCGCCCCGAACAGCATAATAACTAATAAAATATTGGAAACATATGTTAGAGAGCGCTCTAGAACAAAACGAATTATTCGTACCAAATGCAACCCGCAACACACTTGGTATGGTAAATTGAATATAAATCGTTAATCGTTCTAGGGAATTAAAAGCTAAAGTTTTGAGGCCACAAGCTTCAAACAAACATTTCTCGCATCTTAATGTATAGTATGATATCTTTTTAAACATTCTATTACATTTTTCCTGGTGGAGTAGGAGACAAAGAGAGAGAAAGGGAGATGAAGAGCAGAACAACGCCATGCGTCTTAGAGCTGAAAGGTTCTTTGATTGCAGTTCATTTCATTCATTTCTGGTAAATATGTGAAAATAAACAATTAATTGGGGCACGAATAGACCTCGATTTACAAATATTTATCTGATCTTCGCGGGATAGCCTTAAAACCCTTTGTTTTTTTCTAAATGAGTATTCGACTGTTTTCCTATTTCTTAGATCCGTTTCACTGAGTAGACAGGTGTATGTGAACTTTTATGACCATTTGAAATAAATGAATGTAAACAAAAAGTAATTAGTAATTAGTGTAACTTCTGGTTCCGTAACCAAATGTATAATTGAAACTGCAAGTTAATTAATATCAGTCATGTATGTAATGGGTGAAGGGTCAATTGGCGGAACAAATTAAGCTTTCATACTCATTACGTTTTTATTATATTTGTTACCGGTTCTGACCACTAGCATCTTAACTGCATTTAAATTCTGCACTGAAGATGAAATGTGAAACAGTATTTCATTTTTGTAATATATTATATTTACGTGTATGAATGAAATAAACATTAACTCGTACGCAGATTTTTCGGACAAAATTATTCTTTCAATAATGAGAATTTTAAAATTTTTGCCAATAAATACACAATAAGAGAAAATTATAAGATATAATCTTCCCTTCTCTACCTTGCAATGTGCCAATGTGTATAATATGCGGTTTATATATACCTGTGAAAAGTGAAGCATTACTTTTTCACCTCAGTCCAAGTTTTTCTGCAACTTTTCCCATTTTGCATTAAAGAATGATAAAAATTGGTTCTGATCCCATTTTTGGAGAACTCCCTGTATTTTCGAAACTTGCAAAGAAATAACATTGCGAACGTACAATACTGAAAACAAATGATATTGTCTTGAAATCTGTTGTAATAAAATCATATCTTTAAAGATGTCAGATAATTTTTTTGTAAAAAAACTTGTAGTAATTTCTGCGTGAATTTAATGTAATTTATGTAAAAAAACATTTTCTCAACAACGGTTCCAAACTTTTAAAGTTGTTTTTTTTTTCACGAATAGACCAACAGAAGAAGTATTTTATGAAAGAAGCCTTTTTTCACTGTTATGAATATATTCTTATGCTATTTCTTAGGGTTGCCCGGTGTGATTTCGAGTTTTAAATATTATAAAAGGAAGATATTTACAGTTTCTAAATATAAAAGTGATGGTTCAATTTAGGGGCCGTTGAGAGTTATATAACGTTATTATTAAACATCCAAAGGTATCATGTTGTATTCAATATCTACGTTTCATTTTCGTGCCATAAGTCCCACGAACAGTAGCGGAATGGCGACAGGTTGTTGAGGGAATGGCGCGATGGAGCGGGAGCGCTGCCGGGCGCCGCTGCGGCGGGGCGGGGTGCGGAGGAGGCGAACTGCGCGCGAATGGTCCTCCAGAGGCAGCCGCAGAGGGCGTTTAGAGCGTCATTCAGCCAAGGGCTTCCACGCAGAAGCCCCAGTCAGACACTGGCTTCGCGCCGCTCGCGCTATCGCAGCCTCCCCGCTACATTGCGTCGCCTCCCCCTGCCGGCAGCCCCTTTCCGGGTTCACTTCCCTTGGCTCCGCTTGGCCTCCTCCCGTTGCCACTCAGCCTTGCTCCCCGACCCTTCTCGCATTGCTCCGCATTCCGTCGTCCGCCTCGCTCCAGCGATTAAAACCGCTCCCCGCAGACTGAATCGTATTGACACGAAAATTCTTCACACACTTGAACTTTCTGTCTTACGAACGGTGCTCTAGTCACGTATGCACATTTTTTGCCTCGCCCCGCCCTTTTCTTATCTCCACGTTTGGCTCTACCACATCCCATTTCTTCACTCATTCGGTCTTTTTCATGCTTATTTTTTCCAATTTGCTTTTCTTCATAAACCCTCTCTCTCTCTGGCCACATTTGCTGCTGGATGAGGGTAGAGAATCTCCGATAACATGTTAAACTCACAGTAATAAGTAATTCGAATACAGAAAGGTTGTAAGGTAAAAGAAAATCAACCCCACGTCTCTAGAGAAATGGACTTATTACGCGCGAATTGTACTTCTCTTGTTACCAAAGGAAGAATAAACGCATCTAAAATTGCCTTTTTATAATAATGATTCTGAGAACACATATTTCGTCAATAAGTTGTAAAATAAGTTCCACTCTGGTAAATCTATCTACATAATTTCCCGGGAATTAAAGGTTGAGCTTGAACAAATGTGCAGTGCAATTCTCACACCGATTACCTCATTAGACATCCCCTTCGATCAGATTAAAAAATCTATAAATGTTCTTTTATTGTTTATATTTCCCATTTTAACAAAACATGCGTAATGGCTTGTAGAGGAAGAGGCCAATCAATAATTCATACGGTTTTTGATAAACTGAGTCTTCAGCGAGATTAGACAGTACTGAAGAGTAAGAAGGCAAAGATTGCTTCGTTGAGATTTGGCAATGTTCAACATTTTATTAATTGTCCATTGAATTGGTTGAGTATTCTTTTAAATGTCTTTTTTCGTAATTGACAAGTATATTTTATTATTATTAAAAATATACACGAATCCTTGAAAAATTAATTTTCTCTGAGGAATATCTTCCATTTTCTTCCATGAAATAATTCCAAAATGCAGTGATATTAAACCATTTCTTCGTGTCCTGGTTCTGAATTGCACAATATGAGTTGTTTATCTCATTGTTTTAATAACTTTAATTTAGGTTCTTAACTTTTTTTAAACAGGCATGGTACATATAACTCAATATTTCTATATTACAGAAAAATTAACTCGCCGCTAATCGTCTCAATTATTTATCAGTAACTTCTAAACCACTCGTGATAATGACAGTTACTAGCAGCAACTCATAACTTGGATAGTCAATTACTTTACTCCACCGTTCTCAAGAGTATGCCAGATGCTACTCTCGGGGCTAATGAAATAAAGCACCACACTCTTAACTCGCCCATGAGGTCTCCAGATTTACACCCCCCCCTGCCTGAACTACTTTTTCTGAGTCTACCCTTAAGAATAAGTGCACAGAAAGTTGCCATATAATGTAGGAGTTGTGAAGATAGGAAGCAGCAGTGAACAAGTTCACGTAATTCGTACTTGGGTGTAAGCAAAATCATCGCTTGTAAGGAAAAGTAATAGAATCATGTTAAATCAGTCAGAAATAAAATTCGAAAATAATGAAAAGCTAAAGAAGTGCGAGTTAACCTTCAAGATATGACCATCCCCTGTCAACTTCTAATAATGAATATCTCAAGACCAAAATGGGATAAAATGATTAAATTAGAAAACTAGCAGAAATGTTAGAATACTATAGTTTCCTGTAAAATAGATCGAAAAGAAATATTAGGAAATGAAAGACTAAGAAACCGAAGAAGAAGGAGATGAATAAGAAGATGATGATGATGAAGTAAAAAAGATGATGAAGAAGAAGAAGAAGAAGAAGAAGAAGAAGAAGAAGAAGAAAGAAGAAAAGTCAGAAGGATTACCTGTAGAGAATCATCGTCATCATCATAATAATTAGGAATTGTAACATCAGTTCAATCTTTAAGTTGAGCTGACTCTCCTTCTCAGTTAACATCATTCCCTTTTTACACCCTAGTTAATCTTGACCCTACATGTTACTGCTTGGCGTCACTCAGCTGTGACTCGCAAGACAATTACAACTGTTGCAACCGACAATTACAACAGAGGAAACCTACTAAGACACACCGAAACCGTATGGAATGGTCATAATCGGCAATGAAATAGAACTTTCTACATTTATAACAACAAATTAGCTTTAAACCCGTATCCAAGAGGGCATAAAATGTCACTTTGAATTCAATATGGAGGACAGTGAGACACTACATTGGTATGACAGACATCTCCTTCACACATGGCTATCTAACGAACAATGTACAACAAGAAATAGCTTTGTATTAATTCCCCAATGGCATAGTTTTTTCGAAACATTCAAACATTGCGCCGCGCAACGCCGATACCTACAAGCCACCATACTTGCGTTTCCCTAGTCTACATAATACTGGCTAACTTTTAAAAAAGGTTTTAGCTTTGAGCTTATCATACGTGGTTTTAATTGTAGGGCCCCGGCCTATACCCTGGCGCAATGATGTCACCTGGAACCTGATGGAACATGGCTTTTATCAAACAATTTCCTCTGGTTTTGGCTACGCATGTCTTCATATACGCATTTAAGCGATCTCTTAATCCAATAATCTGGGTCGCATGGTTGTATAAAAACGATGGAAATATAAAAACAGTAAGCACTGCCTACAGTAAAGCTCGATCCGCGTTTCTGTACTTTCCCCTGCGTTTCCATGTGCAGTCGGTTTCTTATAGAACACCGTAAAAATGCTAGCAACTTCCGATATTATTTTATTGGTGACAAATAAAAATATATGAAGAGAAATTTCATGAAACATTATTATAGCTTCAATAAACATACAGAAAAAGAAATTC